TTCATGTTCATTCAAGTGAAGCCCATTCCTCTTGTGCCAAAACGTCCCCCAGTGCCTAATTAATCTAAACCCCTCCCCCTGACACCACCGTCTCATCCACGCGTTGAGACCCCTGAGCTCCGCCTGCCTAGCTGGCTCTGCGCATGGAACAGGCAGCACTTCCAAACAAGCTACCTTTGAGGTCCTGCTTTGAGCTTCCTCCCTAAGGACCTAAATTTGGCCTCCAAGACCTCACGACTACATTTCCCCATGTCATTGGTGCCGACATGCACCACCACTGCTACCTCGTCCCCAGATGAGACATGATGTCCACAACCTTTGCACCAGGCAGGCAAGTCACCATATGGTCCTCACGACTGTCACAAACCCCTCGCTCTATGTTCCTGACAATCAAATCGCTCACTACCAGAAGCTCCCTCCCCCCCCGAGGAGTACCCTCAGTGCAACTGGATACAAGCCCAACCCCTGCAGAAGGGGTCCCCTCTAGGGCAGTGATCCCCAACCTCGGGCCTCCAGATGTTCTTGAACTACAATTCCCAGAAGCCTTCACCTCCACCTCTGCTGGCCAGGATTTCTGGGAGTTGAAGTCCAAGAACATCTGGAGGCCCAAGGTTGGGGACCACTGCTCTAGGGGATAGTTTCCCTCTTGTTCAGATTGTTGTCCTCCAGCCCAAAGACTTCCAATCCCAGCAGCTGAGGCGCTGCTTGTCTGTGGGTAGGGCGATGCCTGAAGGTCCGTGGAAGTCTCACCACGGCCCCTCTCTCTGCTTCTCCCAGTCCACAACCAAGACCTTAAGGGAACGAACCTTTAGATCTTGGAGCTCCTTGCTACGATGACACACCCATGACTTTTGCTGGAGGCAAATAGTCATACATATGACACTTGGTGCGAAACATGGGATAGCCCCCAACCCACTGCTGTCTGACTGCACGCTGATATTTGTTTAGGGCTTGCCAAACCTCTTCTCAAGGGAGGGACAGGCAGCATCAAGCTGTGTCTTCTTACACTTAACCTCTTGCACATCCTCCTCTCCCTCCTTTTTCTCACATAGATCCTTTCTCTCGCCTTTAACTGGCACAGCTGCTAAACTCCCTGTGTCTTCTTACCCTGCACTTTGTTGCACTGCGATACTTTGTTGCAGGAGGCACTCACGCTCCAGCCATGAATCTCTCTTACATAATTATCATAAGGAAATGCACTATTTATTTTATTTATTTATTTATTTATTGGACTTATATACGGCCCCATAGCGCTACAAGCACTCTCCGGGCGGTTTACAATTTTTTAATTATACAGGCTACACATTGCCCCCCCCCCCCAGCAAGCTGGGTACTCATTTTACCGACCTCGGAAGGATGGAAGGCTGAGTCAACCTTGAGCCGGCTACCAGGGATTTGAACCCCAGGTCGTGAGCACAGTTTTAGCTGCAGTACAGCAGTACATTGTGAAACTCCAGTGCAAGAAAAGAGGAGAATCTTACCAATAATGCCCAGTAATCAAATCCATGCAGATATTTTCTAGGATATCATCATCCTATTCATTGAAAATCCAGAATTGGTGGCTAATGTGTGTTTCTCTTCAGATACTAGACTGCATCTCCCATCAGGTATAGCTAGTATAGGCAGTGTTGAGGGAAGATGTTTAAGAGTATCAGTTAAGAACCAGAGAGCATATGGAAACAATCGCTCCAAGAAATGGAAGTAGTCAGGAAAAAAATATAGTCCAGAATACTGCTGAGCACTATTGTAATGCCTATGGGAACATTGCCAGTATATAAACAAAGATTCCTGTTGCAAAGAGATGACTCCCATTGTACAAGGAATAAAAAGTCAAACTTCTCATGGTATGCATGATGCATGAATGGTTTAATATTACAGAATTTAACTTTGCTGTTAAAAACATTTTCTAAGTAACACTTCTTTACACCTAAACTCAAATTGAAATACTAAAACTTGCCTAAACAGGTTTAATGGCTTTTTCCTTAGTATTACATTGCTTTCTGTGTGCAGAATTAGTTGAACATTTCAGCTTAGCGAACATGAACTAACATGCTGATGTTGTGATATCCATGCCGAAGAATTCCAGTGACAGCTTATTGACAATGTAATCCTGTTCTGTCCCATGTAAGTGTGCAAAGCATTACAACCAAAAGTTCAACAAATAGTTCAGAGGAATTCTTCATTGCAATTCAGTGTAAACATTTTCAGTGTAAACATTTTCACTTTCCTTACGGAAGTATTTTTACTGCACAAGAGTGCAGCAATGATCTTGTGCTGGCAGAACAAATCAAAATTCTATAAAGCAATTCTAGAAATGGAGGCAATCCATGTGAAAAAAAGGTGTAACTTTGAAACTGAACTTTAGATCAGCACCAAATTTGGTGCAGTTGTAGACAGTCTGCTGTTGCAAATTTGGGATTTGGGGAAGCGTGGCAAAGGTTTTTCAGGTTACAAGTTTCTAAAAGAATTTTTGTTTTTATTTTAGATCTAAATTATTGAACCACCATTTACACATGATTAAAAAAAACAGCCATGGCAATTGCTTTGTGTTTGAGCGAAAAATGAACAGAAGAAAAAAGGACCCATTTTCTGGGATTTGCCCTTGCTTGGTGTCACTTCGTGAATGTTAATACGCACAAGAGGGTATCCTGTAGATCATCTTGATTGCTGCTATTGGTGTTGTCAACATTCATTTGCCATGTAAAGGTTGTCATCCTTTTTCCTGCTGGCAATGTGGGTACAATATTGTGCAGTAATATTGGGCCATTTCCTGGAGTTTTGACTTGTGAAACTGAAGTACAATATTCCACATTCATGAAGCAGGAGTATTTTTTAAATAATTTTTATTTAACTTGGTCAGCCATTTTACAAATTCAAATGGCTTTCTCTCTTTCAAACACTTTGCTTCAGATTTTATTGCAAACACTGAATTTCTTTATGTGCATAATTCTAGGAAGTCTTCTGCTCTGTAAAACAATGAACTTGCTTTCCTTCTTACCCATCCTCATAATAGCAATGAACAACAATGCGTACACTATCAAGTTTTATTTAGCAGTATCAGAATGTTAAAACACACATAAAAATATAGATTGAAATTGTAAGGTAAAATCTGTATGGCATTTCCATATCTATGTTAATATTAAATTTGCTGGCACTCATAGGAACATAGAAACTACCTTATAGTGTCTGAAATCCTGTTGATGGAGCTGCACCACACAATGAAAGTAGTGTCATCAGCTGTGACTGTGCCAATGCCATTTCAGGGCAATTAAAAGATTCCTAGACTCCAAAGCCCATTCTCCCCAATTTCCTGGGGCAGACTTTGAAAAGCATGGAAAATTTAAAGCTAGAAAATTGCCACATAGTCCAGCAGTGATTTTCTGATTTTAAATCTTTCCCGTTTCTGTTCTGTGCCTCCCAAAGGCTGCCCCAGGATAAATGAGATCCTTGAAACTGGGGTGTGTGTGTGTCCACAAAGCTCCAAAATAGTCCTGACATGGCTATGGCCAATAATGTCATACTTGTTGCATGGCATAAGGTTGTGAAACAGTGTATTTCAGACAGTGTATAACTGTGGCTTGTTTGAATAGCAACTGCTGTTTAAATTTGGTACAGCAGGATCCCAAATCTGCTGGATCAATATCCACTAATTCACTTATCCAGTCTTAAAAATATTAAAAATATTAAATGAAAATATCTATAAATACAGTGGTGCCTCACTTGACGATAATGCGTTCCAGCAAAATCGCTGTTAAGCAAAATCGTCGTCAAGCAAAAAAAAAAAAATCCCCATTGAAATGTATTGAATACCGGTCAATGTGTTCCAATGGGGGAAATACATCCAGTGAAGATTGCCCATAGGGAAGCGCCAATCAGTTGTTAAAAACTCCAGCGAAGATTGCCCATAGGGAACCGCCGATCAGTTGTTAAAAACTGCTGTAATGCGAGCTTCCGTCCGGAAGGGAGGGAAGCCATTTGAGAAGGGAGGGAAGCCATTTGAGAAGGGAGGGAAGCCATTTTGCGGAGGGAAGCCATTTTGCGGAACTGTAAAGCAGCCATTTTGAGAAGGGAGGAAAGCCATTTTGCGGAGCCGGAAAGCAGCCATTTTGAGAAGGGAGGGAAGCCATTTTGCGGAATCAGAAAGCAACCATTTTGAGAAGGGAGGGAAGCCATTTTGTGGAGCTGGAAAAAACAGGCTCCTAATCAACGTAAAGCAGATTTCCCCCATTGGAACCATTGGTTTGCGATTGCAATAGTGACCACAAAAATATCATCGTCAAGCGATATTGACGTCATGCGGGTAAGCGTCTAGTGGGGCACCACTGTATGGGTTTTCAAGATGTAAGTATCAGATTGGCCACTAGAGGGAACTAAAAACTATGTTACATAGGTAAGCGACCACCTTTTCTCCTCGTCTCCTTTCAGCTTGAGGCAGCTTCCTTCCAGAGCAGTGTCAACATCGTAAAAATGAGAGCTAGATTGGCTGGTGAGGCAGGAGAGGGGTGATGACTTAAGCCAACCTGCGTCCTGGGAGAAGTTTCCAACCTCCTGCCCTTCCTGAAAGCCCCTTAGCACTCAGCACAGGAACACTAGAAGACGTACATCAAAATAAAAATTGCAGGTACAGGTGAGTCCTGGGTCTAACAGACTGTGTTAGCTATAATCTGCACTTTTCACTATCTGTGGAGGGGGGGCTTGGAACCGATCCCCCGCGGATAAGAGGGTCCTACTGCACGGAAGGTCTTAATATAGAAGAGTGTTTGTATGCATACTTCCCCTTCTGCATTAGGGTGACATGTAAACAGTAGACATTATCTACCTGAAATAAGTATCTTGAATTACCATAGTTTCAACTGGAGACACTAAGAAGCGTTAAAATCCTTAATCTTTGCTAGAACACAACATTATTTTCTTATTTGCAGTCAGATTTTAAAGTATTTTTTGTGGAGATCTATTACAATATCAAACATATTGCAAAAATAAAGTATAATTTCTTTAATATATATATATATAGAACAGTTGCATAGATAGAACATTACTTCAAATGAGTAAAAGCAAATACATTAACAACTGAAAATGTCAGAGTAACATAGAAATTGTACCCGGACTTCAGTGGTCAGTGTTTTGTTGCTCAGAGGACAAGCTTTTCACCCCTTCTATAATTATGGATGGAATGGATGGAATTTAGGCAATATATTCATTTTCCTCACCTACAAGAACCTCTTCATCACTATAGGAAACTTGAAGGCTGGAACTATGTGCAGTACATCTTGTTCCAGAAGAAACCCTCCTTTGATAAAGGAACCAAAGAAATGCTGCAGACACTGCTACAATGATCGTTGATGTTATGACCAAGGTGGTTGTCCATACTTTCTCATCTGAAACAATTCAGTCATTTCATTCAGTCATGTATTGAAATTATACATACTACTGTTTCAGCAGAGTTCAAAATGTTTGTGAGCTATCTGATTAATTCCACCCCTCTAATATTAGCAGTTACTGGATCATTTCTTTAAAACTAGTATTTTTATAAATGTGAGAAGGAAATTGGTACATACTTTCATATGTGATGGGAATGTGAAAAAGTACAAAAATTTTGGAAACTAATCTTTAAAGAATTATGACGTATGTGAAAAAGATATAGAATTTAAGCCTGAGATTGCTTTGTTATCAGTATTTGAGAATGTGGAATATGATGACTAAAGAATTGATTACCAATTTATTAACAGCAGTTAGACTAATAATAACTAAGCAATGGAAATCAAATCTGAATTTCGAATGCACGAATGGTATAATGAAATATGGAATATAGCTATAAATGATAAGCTAACTTGTAATATAAAGGTTAATAAAGGAGAGTTGAAAAAGAATAATTTTTATGATATATGGGGTAGATTTTTGGAATACGTGTTAACAAGAGAAAAGGGGAAAGCTCCAAATCAAGAATCAATGCAGTTCTGGAGAAGAGGACAATAAAAGAAGAAGAAGAATATAGATGGAGGAAGAAGATAATTATTGCAAGAGGTCCCGTCTATGGTGGTGGGGAACACAGTTAATTTGTATTTTGGTTTATGTCTTTTATGTTTACGTTACAGTTAAAATTTAAAAAACAAACAAAAAAACTAGTATTTTTAATTTAGTCTTTCAATTCTGCATGCTTGCTCCTGGCAGGCTAATGGTTCTTAGTTTTACCCTAACCTTGATCATCTGGGGAGCTGTGAGGGATAGTGGCCAGACTCTTATTTCAGTTTACCCTTGTGTAAGGAAAACTGCAACAGTCTTGGTGGTAAACTGCCATTCATTCATGAGATATTGGTTGTGTTGCTGGGCTTAGATGCAATCACACACTCAGAAATTAAAACACCACATCACTGAGCAGCAATGTGCTGCAAAGACTTTTGGGACTTCCTTTATGCAAGTGTAAATCAGCAGTACGATTTTGGCCATTGAATAATGAAGTCCATGAATGCATACTATATGGTGGCATATATGTCCACACAAAGAAAATCCAATAACTACTCTTGTTGTTTATTCCTCTGTAAACAACTTATCCAACATCATATTAAGGACCTACTTTGCTCACCAAAATGGCCAACAGTAATGAGAAATGCCGAGTGTGATTCACTATTGCCTTGTACCAGAACAATGGAGTGGGTCAAAAAGCAGAGAATTCTTTATACACGTGCAGACCATTAACTATATCCATCTGCTTTCCTAAATTGACAGTGAGGACTTGGATCCAGATTTGGTCAGAGTTAAAGACATGCCTAACTCAACTACCACTAATTTTAGTGGATCTGCACCAATTGACCAAATCTGGATCCAGCCCGTGGAAAGTATATGTCCTTCAGGTATCTTTTAAAATTTAAATCTAAAGAACAAAAACTCTTAAGAGAAAATACTGTCTTATCAGAGCTTGTGTTCTGCAGACCATGTAGAAAATGAGAAGTTACTCACCCAGTAAATACTCCTTTTCATACAGAACTACAGGCACGCATGTAAAAGAAAAGACAAAAAAGAATATTTAGTTTTAAAAAGCAACGTTTTCAAGCCTGTTAAACTCACAAGAAAGTAAAGAAAGAGGTTCCATGGCTTGAAGAGTTGTACCTCTTAGCCAGCAGCATCAAAGGGAAAACTGAAAGACACTCATCTGTGGGAGTGTCTTCTGCATAGGCATCTCCTGAGAAATGGAAATTACTGTAAGTCTGTTAAAGTGTTCAGATATGAACACTGTCCATTCATCCCATACTGTTTCAATGAAGGAACACCTGGATCTAAGTCACACTAGCCCAACTCACCATTAGTCTTGGATGAGCACGCTGAGCAATGGCAACAAATTATACTGGACAAATGGGTTTCCAGTATCAACTTTATAGATAGACATCATATCTGCTTTCACTGTACTGCTCTATGCCCCCCTCTACTGCACATATATGGTACCTGGTGCCCCAGTTTTTCTTTTGCCGGCAAGACAGTAGCACTTCAGCCATTCTCCTTTCTTGCTCTTAACTAAGCAGATGTTCTGTTTCTCATTCTGTCTTCTTGCACTTGCGTCCTTGGAAATACAGTATGAACTCTCTGTTCTTTAAGGCCTTGATCTAAACCCAGCCATCTTCCTGATTCTTTAACAACACTTAAGGAGCTTGAAGCTTAAGGAGCAATGAGTGTGGTTGGGTCATTTGACTTTCAAGAATGTCTTATAAAATTTGGGAGTCTCTTGACCCAGACATAGTTGAGGCAGGATGGTTGTGGCAATGACAGCCTGGTGTTCCGCTCCTGAATCCATTTTGTTAGCGCTGGGGACAATGGGGGTGGCTTGGACCAGCTCACTGAATTTCTCCCCTCCTCTGAAAATAGGTTCCTGTAGAAATGTTAGAATGTGAGCAGAATAATTTAGTACCCCAAATCCTGTTGCTTAGCATGCTAAATTTCACTAAAATAGGTTGACTGAATGAATGAGGATTTAGTGAGTCAGCTCCTGTAGGTTAATCAATTCAAATGGAAGTACTTTAATTGAGACTTTGTTTCATAGTCAGAGGCAGTCCTGGAAGCAGCAAAATCGGGCAGCTGGCCAGGGGACAGATTGTATTTGTCTTCAGTCTGGAAGGGATTGTCACTCTCGAATTGGCCTTCTCAGGCATAGAAGACACTGTTCCAAGACCTCTATTCAGAGCACACTACCGTAGACTCTCGAGACTGAAGGATGCTCCAAAGGAGTTTAATATTAGTCAACCATAGTCTCTCAAGACTGAAGGAGGCCTCCAAAGGAGTTTCATATTAGTCACAGTCTGAGCAGGCCTATTTGAATCAATGGAACCTAGAGAGGAGATGACTCACTAAATCCCCATTGATTCAATGGGCCTGCTCTAGTGTGATTTACTACACCAGGCAACAGGATTTTGGCCATTATGTAATAACTATTGGCCCAGTTAAACTTTTAGGGCTCTTAAGAAATGAGACATTCTTCTTTGGTTCTCACACATTGGAACTGAAACCAGGGCACTTAAAAAACTCATTGCTATTCTAAAAGTTTTTCATCTACTTTCTACTGTCCTAGAAACATTGCTAGTACTGACATACTGGCTTAAATCCCACAGTAAATCACAACTAGAGTAGGCCCACTGAATCAGTGGAACTTACAGAAGGTCTGACTCACCAAATCTCAACTGATTTGATGGGCCTATTCTAGTTATGACTTACTACTGGATTTCAGCTATTCTGTCTTACAGAAGGTCTGACTCACCAAATCTCAACTGATTTTATGGGCCTATTCTAGTTATGGCTTACTACTGGATTTCAGCTATTCTGCTTAAGAATATTCATAAGAATACTTCCCCAAATTATCTTCTAATATGCAGGCAATTTTATTGATTACCTAAACATTTTTATTCTGTTGGCAGGAACATCCTCTTCACCAAAAACAAAAACACGTTAAAAATGACAGAAAGCAGAAAGGGGAAGTAATGTTTGCTGATTTCCTCTCTCCATGCACCCTCCCCATCTCCTGATGAGCAGATTTTCAGGGGACAAAGAAGACTGAGAGAGGGGTGGCCAAGGAAGACCTCCTCCTCCTCAATCCAGCTAAAAGGAAAAAGAACTACAGCTTCAAAAGCATATTTGTGAAGGAAAGAATGTTTCTATCCATCTGAGACGTTTGCTGGACCCAATCCGTCACATCTTGAGCAGCAGAAACTGCCTGCATGACCTTGAACCTTTCAGCTATCTCTGAAATTTATCCATCCTAGCATCCTATAGAAATAGTTTACAATGTACAGTGGGGTCTTGACTTGAGAACTTAATCCGTATTGGAAGGCGGTTCTCAAGTCAAAAAGTTCTCAGGTCAAATCTGCATTTCCCATAGGAATGCATTGAAAACCATTTGATCCGTATCTGCTCTTTTCTGTCCATAGAAACTAATGGGAAGCTGCTATTCCGCCTTCGACCACTAGAGGGGGGATATTTTGTTTCTTTTTTTCTTAGGTCAAGAAAGGTTCAGGGAAAGCAGGGAAAATACAGTCCAGGCAGTACCAGGCAGTCCGAATCTCCCAATCCACTCTCTAAACGCTGGGAGGAGTGAGGAAGCAGACAGGCACCCTTTCACTGGCCAACAGTTAACTGAAAGTTCACATTTTGCACTTCCCCTGCCTCCCACGTGGTTTTTTTTCAGTTCTTAACTCAAATCTAAGTACTTAAGTCAAGTCAATATTTTCCTATGAGAGCGGTTCTTAAGTCAAAATGTTCTTAACTCAAGCCGTTCTTAAGTCAAGACCCCACTGTATTAAGAAAGTCTTAACGTGAAGATTACATACTGGCAGTTTCACACAGGATCTCATTCAGGGGGAGATGCTCACAGCTTGTTTTCTTCCATCCACCTGAGATAGTGTGCATAGTGGCACAGGTGTTCAGGGGTTCCTCATTACTATCCTCCTTCTCCCAGTTCATAAAATTCACTTCAGATTCATCGTACCATTTGAAAACATCATCTGCAATAGAGCAACATTGAAGAGCTATGGTTTCAAGATGTACAAGGCAAAACCAGTTGCAGTTGTAGAAGGGGCAGCTGTGTTAGTCTGTGCAAGCATTACAGATGAAAACAAAATAAAAGTAAAAAAAGATAAAAACATGGTGGCACCTTAAAGCTTTCGTGGACCGGTCCACATAAGAGATCTTATGTCTGATGGAGTGGACTTGTCCATGAAAGCTCACATTAAAAAATATATAAAAGTCAGTTTTCAAGGTGCCACCACATTTTTTACCTTTTTATTTTTTTCACCTGTAAGGCAAAATCTTACTATGTTCTTACTATGGATACTAAATTTTAGGAAGCCAAGACAAAGCTAGAAAGAATCCTGTGCCACTTTAATGAGAAACAGTTCATTTCTAAACACACATACATGGTAACAGAAACAGCTATGCTAAGGTATATATGGATGCTAGAGACGCATTGAAAAAGACTGAATAGCAGTTAAGGTTCCTAAGTTATTACCATAAATACTGACTGTGCTGTATTGGGTAAAGCGACAGACTGGGACTCAGGAGGCCTGGGTTCAAATCCCCACTCAGCCATGGAAACTCACTGCGAGTGTAGAACTGGCAAAACCTCAAATATTTCACTTACCTTTAAAGCCCTCTTAGGATTGCCGTAAGTTCTGACTTGACGATACGCCTCAAATATCTCACTTACCTTTAAAGCCCTCTTAGGGTTGCCATAAGTTCTGACTTGACGATACATAACAAGTCATTTCCACATGTGAAATCCTACATTTCCATGTGTGAAATCCTACACTGATTCCCACTGCTTGCCACTTGTGTCCACAATGCTGTTATTGATAATTGTAGCCTGGTAACTGAAATTGATAGCTTCTTCCTTTACTACTCACTTACCTTTAAAGCCCTCTTAGGGTTGCCATAAGTTCTGACTTGACGATACATAACAAGTCATTTCCACATGTGAAATCCTACATTTCCATGTGTGAAATCCTACACTGATTCCCACTGCTTGCCACTTGTGTCCACAATGCTGTTATTGATAATTGTAGCCTGGTAACTGAAATTGATAGCTTCTTCCTTTACTAACTCCTACACTGATTCCCACTGTTTGCCACTTGTGTCCACAATGCTGTTATTGATAATTGTAGCCTGGTAACTGAAATTATTCACAACTTGATAGCTTCTTCCTTTACTAATGAGCCATTGTCACTTTGTCCATTATCTGTATCCTCACCTGATCCTGAGGCCATTTATAAATATGACAGTCATGTAGTTCCACTCTTATGTCTGAGGAAGAGGACTTGATTCATGAACCCTCACATTAAAATACAGCAATTAGTCTTTAAGGTACCACAACGTTTCTCTCTCTCTCTCTTTTGCCTGATATTACTTGGTAACAAACCTGACTGAATTAAGTTGATGCCTAAATGAGCGTACTTGGATGTACACTATGCTGCAGATTTTAAGGGACTGGAAACTGCTTCATCAACTGCCTTATTATCCTTCAAGGAATAACAATCCTGGATGATGTTTTATTACAGTGACTTGCATCTTGGCCAATTTTTCACAAGTGGCCCTGTGGTCCAACAAAGGAGGGGCCTCGCCCTCCACTACGTGGTAAGTTGTGTCCTACTTGGGCCAGGATAAGAAACACAGATTCTTCGCCACAATAGACTGTCAAACCATTTTACTTCTGGGCACAATCAGCACAAGGCTGTACTTCGTCCCTTGAATTTACTTGGTGCTCTGCATGTAAGGTTGTGAAGATTTTGTAGGCTTAGCACTTCCCACAGCTTATTCTCTGTAGCTCCACCCAGTTCAGCTTTTCAGCCCACAAAAAGGGCTGACTTCTGCTTGTTGCTACATAGGTTTAAAATAGATAAAAGGGAAGAGAGAATCTTTCTGTGAAGAATTTGAAGAGTCGCTGAAGGTAAGCACCCAACAAAATAACAGTACAAAGGCTGACCAGCCTCCGACAGGTTTACAGTCACTTACCATCTGTGTCAAAAAACATGCCCAATGATATATATTCAGGACCACGCCAATGGTTATGGAAAATCTTTTGGATAAAGTCATTCTCCTCTCTGTTATTTACGCTAATAATATCAGCTCCAGAAGCTGCAGTTGGAGAGGGGGAAGAAAAAACAAAGTAGAAGTCAAACCCCAATACCTTGACAACCTTAGGTTAAGAAAGACCAAATGCAAACAGAATTCATCATATGCCCTTTGCTTCCTACGTTCAAATCTGCCACATCAAATTTTGTTTCTGCAGATCTATTGTTTGCACAGTTCAATCCTACACGCTTCAGTAAAAATTGTACAATAATGACTATAACAGACGACGGAGGACACTAATCTTTTACACCTAATCTTTAACTAATTTTCTTGGAAATATATCACATAGGGATAAGAAAATATCTGTAGAGATGTTGAAAGCTGAGCAAATGAAATGGATTTAGAAATGTTCTGAAGAATAATAAAGGGTCACAGAACATTTGAAGAACAGAACACAGCTAGGTCAGGGGTTTTCAATCTATGTTTTGGATATTTTGCGGAAGCCTTAGAAGGTTCTTAGGGGGTGCCTGATAAAAGAAAAAAAATTAACAACAGAGGATAAGTCCATCAAAATTGTATTTCTCTGCTTACTACCATCTTCCTCTGCAATCTGCACTGCCAGAGGCATGACGGGGAGCCACACTGTCTCAAGAAGTTGGCAAAGCAGAAAGTGTTGGCCCAGCATCCTAGACTATCTCCCTAGTTCAGGAAGTGCTCCCAAAAACATGCCACCATCTTCTGCAACGTGTGGTGGTGGTGGGCGTCCTGTGGCAGACAATTCCTTGTGGAAAGGATTCCTGAAACTAAAGCCTTCAAAAAATGATGGGTTAACAATGAAATATGAACTTGCCTTAATTTTAGGACTGTGGGAAGCCCTTCCTTCTGTCCCACCACTCTCACAGGTACATCTGGTGAGGATATGAGAGAGGGCCTGTAGTGGCTCTTCCCAAGCCAAGGAACTAGCTTGTAAAGGAGGCTAGGTTGGTCTCCTCCCTGTGGTCCATTTGCACACAGGCAAATACTTCTTTGTTTAAACGGGGCTTTACGTACTGATTAAAAGGGCCTTTTAATAGTGGGTGAATGTTGTGTTTTAAAAGGGTTATTATACTGCATTGCTTCTGTGCTGTTTTAAGTCATTTATTTTGTCATTTACTGTGTTTTAAAATTGTATCTTTAAAAAAATGTTGAGAAAACCTGAGGTTCCGCAGAGGAAAAATGTGGACAATAAATTTAAATAAATAAACATTTGCACAGGACAACACACGGACTTCCTATTGCTGCTGGACAGCAGTGTCCTTCATCAATTACCATTGTCTGTGGTGACAATGTAAAATCCGTTGCTTTAAAAACAACAGCAACAAAGGTACATAGGATTGGCCAAATAGAACGCATCCTCTATTGAAGCCTCTGACAGAGGCTTAATCATATGCTTTATGCTACATAATTACCCTTATTAGAAATGCAAACAAGATGTTAAACTCTCTGTCCACTTCATACATGACATCATAGCTCACAGCATAAATGACCTCATGAGGGAACTGAACAGGGGTGGGCTCACGGGGTGGAGAGAGAAACTGGATTACCGTTGCCTTTGCAGTATTCCCTGGCATCATCAATACTTTGGGTCTCCAGCGGTCCCTGAAGTAAAGCGTAGCAACTCGTTCCAAACGAAATCCACACGGAAGATGGGCATACTACACAGAGGAAGAAAACAATCAAGTGCTACTTTGCTACTGATTTCTGTTAACAGTGCTGGTAAATAAGGGCCCACTGCAGCATGTGGCTGTCCCAGGCGCTTGCCCTGGCTTTGGCACCCCTCGCACCCACAGTCTGGTTCCGATATGTGGATGACACCTTTGCAATTTGGAGCCACAGTGAAGAAAAATTGGAAGAATTTCTCAACCATCTCAACAGCATCCACCCAAATATACAATTCACCATGGAAAAAGAAATAGAGGGCCAACTCCTGTTTTTAGATGTCATGGTCCTACGCAAAACTGACCTCCGACACGTCTACAGAAAACCCACCCACACAGATTGGTACCTACACAAAAACTCCAACCACCACCCACAGCAAAAAAGAGGCATCAAAACACTGGTAGACTGTGCAAATCGGAACTGTGAAGCTCAGTTTCTCAGCACTGAACTCAACCATCTGAATTGGGCCCTACAGGCAAATGACTACTCCAAAAATGAAATCACAAGAGCCATCAAACCAAGAAAACAATACCAAATTGAAGCGGAAAAACAGCCACCCACAAATAGAGTATTTCTGCCATACATCAAAGGGGTCCCGGACCGCATGGGGAAACTTTTGAAAAAACACAACCTACAAACAATATTCAAGCCCACCACAAAAATACACCAAATGTTACAGTCACAGCAAAGGACAGAAGGGACCCCCTCACCACTGCAGGAGTATACCGGATACCTTGCAGTTGTGGCCAGGTATATATTGGAACCACAAAATGAAGCATCCACACCTGAATCAAAGAACATGAGAGACACTGCAGACTAAAACAACCAGAAAAATCTGCAGTAGCTGAACATGCCCTAAAACAAATTGGACATGAAATTCTATTTCAAAATACTGAAATACTGGACAACACCAGCAATCATTACGTCAGACTGCACAGGGAAGCCACTGAAATCCACAAGCACCAGCAGAACTTCAACAAAAAAGAGGAAAGTTTGAAACTCAACAAAACTTGGCTCCCAGGTCTCAAAAATGCAGAGTGCAAAAGGTCAACAAACTCTACCCAGCCACAAGGACCGGGGCTCACTGCACACAAAAGATCAGCTAATGACACCTATCAATCACAGTGACAGATAATCTCTCCTCATCACAACAATACACCCACAACAAGATACACTAATCACCCATTTACAGACGAAAGCCCATCTGACAGCCATAAATACTGCACTCCCAAGCCAACTACACCAGAGCACAGAGTGCTGTCCTCTGAAGATGCCGGCCACAGAAACTGGCGAAACGTTAGGAAGAACAACCTTTAGAACACGGCCAAAGAGCCCGAAAAACCCACAACAACCATTTCATTTAATTATCTGCCCCTGATCCTGAAGATAAGCAAATATGTTTACTATAGATGAGCTTAAGTTTTGGACTGAACACATACTTCCCCTGTCCCAAGTTCTACACTGAATTATAGATATGCATGAAATTAATCTGAATAAGTTTCACAAAATAGGTCCCCCAACCCAATCAAAAATTTCTTTTTAGGTTCTGTGTCTGGAGGCTTTGTTTGCTTCGCATTATGTTTCACAATAGCCATAGCCCAGCCAAAGGCACTTCAAACAAAACAACTTCCCAATATAAGGCAACTCTCTCATTTTCTTACAGACAAAACAGGAAATTAATTTACTGGTCATCTGATTTGAATTGATACCTGTGATGATGAAGGGTGAAAAATGTGAGGCCATATATTTTAGTAAATATTAACTTGTCCTTTTAAACCTTGTCTTTATTCAGCTCTCTAGACAGATATATCAGATATATTCCCACACCCATTATCCATTTTCCCTCTAAACAATATGGATAAGAACTGGTGGGAATCTGACCTGAATAGGTTTTATAAAAAGGTACAGAAAACAAACATTCTAAAATAAATGATACTGCCTCAAAGTACAGGTTTCCCTGTTCATGTTGGGTTACGTTAAGGCTAGTATATAATATAATATAATATAATATAATATAATATAATATAATATAATATAATATAATATAATATAATATAATATAATAGTGAGCCTTATTCCACAAAGGGAGGAACTCATACATTGGGCAACTGGGACAACTGTTCCAGTTCACCCTAGTAGAGGTCCTATTGCCAAATTTACCCAGGAAGAAACAAATCACAGTGCCCTGCCTTCAGTGGTGTCTCTTCTTGTATAACTTCTTTGCAATACGCTGTACTTTACTGTTTAATTAGTGACGGAGACCAACACAAACCTACGTGGAAGTTATGGTTCTCCATTGGGCAAACCCGCTGCCAGACGGGTAGTTAAGAAAAGAGTGCTCTTGACTTGTGGGGAGGCCTTGTCGAAATCATCCTCGGGACCTGCTTCGCCCGCGGGGGACTTCCTGCCCCTCTCATTTTTGCGGGGAGGTAGACGGAGGGGTTCGCGCTCCCCCCCCCGAGGCCAAGCTCAGCGGGCGAGTCCCACAGGACGGAGAGCAGGCTCGGACTCCCCCGCTTTGGCAAGTCTCCCGACCCACTCGCTTCCTGAACCCGTCTCCCTGGGGCGGCATGGCTGGAGGCGGGAATTCGCCTCAGAGGAAGACGGGCTGGTAGACCCGTTTGGCGGCGGGAGTCGTGGGAACGTGCACTTTCCAGGGGTGTTCCGTGCCCCGCCGCTCGAGTCGCCGGCCAGGCCGAAG